GCAGTTTTCCCTTCAAAACTTCCATGTGTCCGGACGTCGGCCTCTTCTAAATAGCTAACTTTGGTCGTACACAAGTAGGAAACATTCCCCTAAAGTTTCAGCTTTCTAAATTTTGCCGTTCTCGAGTTAATGATTTTCCTGCCAAAATCTCCATGTGCCCGTACGTTGATCCCGGCCGCTTCTAAGCTTATCTTGGTCGTATATGAGTAAGGAACTTTCCCAAAATTTTCAGCTTTCTAGCCTTTCTCGTTCCCGAGCTAGCAATTTTCCTGCGGAAACATTCACGTGTCCGTACGTAGGCCCTGTTCATTTTTAAACAGCTAATTTTGGTCGTACATGAGTAGGGGGACATTCCCCTGAAGTTTCAGCTTTCTAGCTTTTTTCATCACCGAGTTAGCGATTTTCCCGCCAAAATTTCCGCGTGCCCGTGCTTGAGCCCCTAGCAGTCTTAGGCAGCTGAATTTGAAATCTTTTAGTCATACATGGGTAGGGAGCATTCTCCTGAAGTTTCAGCTTTCTGGCTTTCCTCGTTCCTGAGTTGGAAATTTTCCCCCCAAAATTTTCGCGTGCCCGTGCGTGAGTCCTGGGCGATTCCAAGGAGCTGAAAACTTCTCGTCGTACATGAGTAGGGAACATTTCCTCAAAGTTTTGACTTTCTAGCTTTTCTCATTTTCGAAGTATCAGTTTCCCCGTCAAAATTTTCACGTGCCCGTATGTAATTCCCGGGCAGTCCTGAGCAGCTGAATTTGGAATCTTTTTATCATATAATGGGTGAGGAACATATCCTTAAAGTTTTAGTTTTCTAGCTTTTTTCGTTCCTGAATTAGCAATTCTATCAAAAGTCTTATGTGTTTGTACGTGGGCCCAGACATACGTGAGGGATGATGCCGCGGTTGTGGGGTGGCAGTTGGCCGGGAACACACTGGCAAAATTCCAGCTCCAAAGCTTGCATGGTGGCGAGTTGAAATACGCGGACAGATGAACACACATGCACATATACACATAGGGTTGTTGCAGTATGCTTTTTTTCTGACTGTTGCAGCGCTCTAGCGCTGTACGGGAAAAGCGAGCAAAGCTGAAACTTTGTGAGCTTAATCCATGTGGAAGTACGGGCTCCTCTTCCCAAATGGACACTCTTGCTCACGTGGTTCTCACGTGCGGGCCCGTGAAAATCTTTGGCAGGTAAATTGCTAACTGCGGAGCCTGGAAAGCTAGAAAGCTGAAGTTTTAAGGGGATTTTTCTGGCCCACGTACGTCTCAAGGAGCTTAAACCCTCCCCCCGCCCTCCCACTCCCTCGAGTATGCGTGGTCCCCACGTACGGGCCCATGAAAGTTTTTTTTTTGGTAGGTGTTAACTTGGAAACTTGAGGAGGTAGAGGATTGGAATTTTAAGGGGATGTTTCCCGTCTGCGTAGATTTCAATGAGTTCAAACCCAGCCTCCGGGTATGTATGTACGAGCCAGTGAAAGTTTTTTGCGGGTAACTTGTTAACTCTGGAGCCAGGAAAGCTAGAAAGCCGAAATTTGAAAGGGCTGTTTCGTGCTAGAAAGGGTAATCCGAGATTTCAAAGGGTGGTCAATCTCAATTCTTTTGGCTGGAATCATCTGTCTGAAAAAAAACAGTGCCGTTAGTGATAAAAATCTGCGAGGAACTGTGCAAAAAACGTATCTTCGTATCGGCATTTGGTGCGCTGGCCATTTATTTGTCTTCAAAATCTCACAGAGGCAAAGGCTGAATTCATCCCCATGTATCCACTCTACTTTGTTTTTGTTTAGCTTATTTCCTACGATGGAACTTATTCGCTCTTAGCTTTGCATATGCATTAGCTTCATAAATAGGAAAGTTCTCTGCCGGCGACGGCTTTTTATAGAACAATTTCCACTAGCAAAGTCTCAGTTTTTTGGCCTTATTCACAGAGTCAGATTTGCTTTAATTTTTATTTTTCTTTGTAGATTCCTCCTTGCTGTTGTCTGCGGTTTTTGCTTCGCTGACTTGTATCTTTGTTCCTCTTCTCTACCTTGTCCTCTAATTCTGGCCGCAAAGCAACATCTAGACTCCTCTTCATCCCCACTGTCATTTGGTCTTTAATTCCACCTATCCCAGCCCCCTTCTCTTGCCTCGAACAAAACCCGCAGCAAGCCACCCGTCTCCACCTGCCACATTCGAACTCCTGCCAGTCGCCGTGGGGTAGCCCCGCCAGTCATGGCCAGGGAAAATTTTGCAAATCATACGTGACGCCGGACGAGCCGAACCGAACTGAGTTTTGGTAATTGCCAGTGGTTGGAGTCTTTTTGTAATGAAACGAAGCATCCCGGTATATTACGCCGTCGTGATCGTACCTGTGGTAACCGTGAATGTGTATTTTGTGTCACTGTCTAGTGCAAAATAAGACAGTTGTGTAATCTATTTTCGAACAAGTAGGACGCGTACGCAGTGATTACAGGGCAGTTTATAATATCACGCGGTTTAACTGCAGGTGCGAATCAAGAAAGCATGTTGGCAAACTATAATGCTGCTAACCTGAATAAAAGTTATGAAAGCTTCGGTGCCAGAACTGCAACTCCTGAGCAGCTTTCGAATGCAGCTGTTTCAGCCAGGTATGCATTTTTTTTTAATGCTTTTCGCGCTGTGTGACAGCAGTACAAAACGCATATTGTCAAGCCTCTGCCTTTGTTTGTTTGTGTGTGTGTGTGTGTGTGTGCCCCGAGTGCATTTTGTCCTGCACTTTCAACTCAGAAACCGTGAAAGCTAGAAAGCTAAA